CCCCCGCCCCTTCCTTCGGCGCCGCGGAGGGTCGGCGGACCGCGCGGCGGGGCGCAGGGGGAGGCTCCCGGGGCCGGAGGTGGCGCGGCCGCGGGAACGCGCCGGCCCTGCGCCCCCCGCCTCCTCGCGGTGGAGGAGGACCCGAGCGGGCCGGGCCGGCCGCCGTCCCCGCAGACCCGGCGCCAGGTCCCACGAGTCCCACGCGCCGCAGGAGCCTTGCTCTCCGACCCCTCTCCCCGCGCCCCGAGCCCGCGGGCCTCCGGGGCGGGCACCGGCAGGATGCCCGGGCCGCGCCCTTCTCCAGCACGCAGACCCCCACTCGGGGGCGCCCTGGGGACCCGCGCGCTGTACCTGGGGGCCTGGGACCGGCTTCCTCGCCCTCGCGCCGCCGCTGCCGCCGCCGCCGCCTGCGGAGTGAAACCGAAGGTGAACCGAAAGTGAAAGCGGAGACAGGAGAGCGGCGGCGCCTGGCAGAGGCAGCAGCGGGCGCGGGGAACCGGGAGCCGGGCTGCGGGCGGGAGACCCCGCGCCAGAGACGGGAATTAAGATGAGCGCTGCCCGCAAGGGAAGCAGCGGGCGTGCACAGGGGGTGATAAGGCGGGAAAGAGCCCCCCTTTCTGGACGCGGACCATTTCCTCGTGTGGGTCTTTGGAGGTATTCTTTTGGTTGGGCATTGAGGGCGTAAGGCAGGGACTGGTGCTTCAGGAAGTGATCGTGGCCCAAAGAGAATTCGCTTCACCTTCAAACGTTGCAGGACTTGTACCCACAGGCTGGTCGTCATCTCGCCTCTGCAAATGGGCGGTGAGCTCTTGGACCGCCTCAGAAAGAACAGAAACCCAGAACAACTCTGTTCCTACAAAATGCTGAGCCCTTTGGGCTTCCGGTAGAGGGAAGGTGTGTTAGGGACGCCTCAGAGGAGGGCTGGGTATAGATGTCCGCAGAAACTTCCCTACCACTACCAAGAGGCACTTGAATCCCAAGAATTTGTTGCTCCCCAATTTAAGACATTCCCCTGTCTTTTCTTTTCTTTTTTTTGTGTGTGTGTCAGCCTTGGAGGCGCAGCAAAACTCAGCTTTATTGCATCAGAAGCTTTGTTATATCGAGGAAGATAAGGAAGTAGCAGAAACCAATGGTAATTGATTATCTCATCTGTCACTAGGGTCTTTAGGCAGGTTTCCGGTTAGGTGGGGAGGCGGAGTTAGGGCCAAGAGTACCCCCCCCCACCCCGGAGGCTAGTTAGGCCATGAACGGAAGTAACAAGGGAGGGTGGAAACCTCCAGTCTGCGGCAGTCACAGGCCTACAAGAGGCAAAAGGTCCCAACAATTCCCCCTTTTTGTTTTATAAATGCTCTGGGATGTCCCGGCGGGCAAGGACCCTGTCTTAGGTTGTCCCCCTCTGGGGATCTTACCCGTCACTGGGTACCTTGCAGCTCCTCGGTTGTCCCAAGCTTACTCATCCTCCGGGGCCTGTCTTAGGTTGTCTCCACTTTGGAGATCTTACCCGTCTTTGGCACATGGGAAGATAGTCAGGGGGAGTCAACAGACACGGCCTCATCATAAGGCTCACAGGGACTGCAGGGGTCACTGGCTTCTGTGGCAAGTCTCTGGTATTGTATTTGCACGCTCATCAACTGAATTGATTCAATTTTTTGGACAAACTGGATAATCTTGTTAACAAGGCAGGGCCCAAAAGTGAAAAGTAGGAGCAAAAGAAGGATGGGACCAAGGAAGGGCAGAAGATAGGGCGACCACCCATGTAACTCAGTCCAAAGAAAACTGGCTTGTAATTCTTGTCTTCATCTCTCGAGGTCTCCTTGAAGTTGTTTGACCTTATTTTGGACTATGCCGGAATGCTTCGCATAGAAGCAGCATTCTTCTTGTAAAAAGAGACATAAGCCTCCTTTCTCCGCAGTGAGGAGGTCAAGCCCCCTTCGGTACTGTAGGACTAGTGCCCTGAGGGAATCTAACTGTGCTTGGAGGTCAAGAATTGTGCTGGCCACAGCTCGTAGGTCATCCATCGGTCATCTGTTGAGAAAGGGCTTCATAATAATGTAGGTAGGGAGGTCCCCAATCCTGCTGCCCCAATGGCAGCTCCGGTGGCCACCCCAAGGCCTAAAAGCAGGGGGATAACCTGAATGGGACTTTTTGATCTACCTCCAATGTGGTCTAAAGCAGGAATAGGGAGGCTCTGATTATTAGGAACCACTCCAATGTCAGGGAAAATTACAACTGGAGCACAAAGTCCCATCCAGCCTATCGGGAGAAAGCCAAATGCGTCTCCCCCACAAATGAAGACTGTTCCATTAGGGGGACAGAGAAGAGTATTGTTCACAGTAATATTTTGTTGGCAAAAGGAATAGTGGATTCGACCTACATCTATCCCACTAGTATTATCAGAACGGGGGGCAGCTTTGAAGCATGGGCTTTAGGGAAGAGAGGGTCTAGATAGACCCCAGAGCTTGAGGGCAATAGCGGGCACTGGGGCTCGGTCTGTGACAGGTTAACAAGAAGAGCATTGACTCATAATGGTTACGGCTTCAGGCACAGCCAGCAATCCTTTGCTAAATCAGGATTGGTTGTGTTGAGTAAGGTAAAAGCAGCCTGTATGATTGATTGTGTCTCAGGATCAAGAAGCAATTCTCCCCTGATCTCCGGGAGGCTAAGAGGGTAGTAAATCAGGGGATTTGGGTCTTCAATCAGCCTGTCTATCAGTTTTTTAATTTGGTGCTGTCAAACCTGATCTTGGACTCCGCCCCCATCAGAGATGCCTATAGGGGCAACTCGATTCCAGCAGGCATGAGCTCCCCTATTCTCTCAACAGTCAGCATATTCAGTCTTGCCTTCTGTCAGAATTGCATACCTGTATGTTTTGTTCTGTTTAGTGCAGGGGCTAACTTCCTTATAGCATCGAGCCTGAACGGAGGCATGAAAAGTGGTGCAAGGACACCCAGAGGGGGGTTTCCCTTGGGTGGGTGGATATATTTTTGGGCCTGGCCAACACTTGTGAGTGAGAACTCTTCCAGGGCATCCATTTTCTGTCCCTTTCATGAGTGTGGCTGCCCGTTGCCCATTAGGGCAGATTTTGATAGAAGTGTAACAGGTTTTGGGGGGAGGAGTTTGGATGAAAGAGCAGGCCGTGCAGGGGTCTCCAATGGTCTTTCATAGTATGGCTCTTGCTTGACCGGGATCTCCAAATCCTGTCTTAGCTAATGGGAGATTCATCACTATTAGCAGGAAGACCAGCATCATTGGGTTCACTGCGGACTCTGAAAGAGAGAGAGAAGAGAAATATCCTCAGGCGGCGAGGGGCCTTCTGGGTCATCATTGACATTAGTGAACTCCCCCTCCGTAGGGAGGTAATACTTGAGATCCCTTGTGGGGACCCAGATCGGCCTTTTTTTCATTGGTCGGAAAGACACAGCCGAATCCCTTTCCAGCTATAATGAGGGGGTCTGGGCCCCTCCATTCTCCAGTAAGGGGGTCCTTCCATCAGGCTCTAATTGTCCGATAAGTAACGGTTGTTGTCCAGTGCTTTTGAAAAGGCGAGAAGTGTTCACCATTGGCAAAATTTAAAATATTCAGAGTAAATAATGCCATCTTTAGTTGATCATGGGGGGGGAGTATTTCCCCTTTTTGTTTTATTAATTGACATTTGAGGATATGATTGTGTTTTTCCACAATTGCTTGTCCTTTAGGGTTATAAGGAATTCCAGTGGTATGAGAAATTTGCCATTTACTCAAGAATTCAGTAAAAGACCTACTGATAAAGCAGGGACGATTATCGGTTTTGATTTGGTCTGGCAGGCTAAGGACGGCAAAGCACTGGAGAAAATGGCTTATGGTATGTTTGGATTTTTCTCCCATATGGGCTGTGGCCCAACAAGCATGGGAGAAGGTATCAACTGTTAGAAATATGTATCTAAGCTTCCCAGAAGGGGCAAAATGTGTGACATCAGTTTGCCAAAGGTTATTGGGCCTCAGGCCTCGAGGGTTCACTCCGCCCTTCTGAAGTGGAGGAACCTGTAGAAAGGGCTGGTATGACTTACATGTTCTAATGATCTTTTTTAAGTCTCTGATGGGGACTTGAGGGAACCGATGGTGTAGTCCCCTCCAATTAGCATGTGTAAATTGATGAAAAGAGGTGGCTTCCTGTACTGTGTAGGCTGAAGCTAGTCGGTCTGCAAAAGCATTGCCCCTCAACAAAAAGCTTGGCAAGTCCTGATGTCCTCTTAAATGTTGTACAAAAAGGGGAACTAGTCTCTGTTTTAACAAATGGCAGGCTTGAATCATTAAAGGAGTGATGGGATTATTGTCAAGTCTGATGCGTGTGCCCACAAGGTTGGGCAGTAGATTGACAACGTAAAGGCTATCAGAAAACAGATTAAGAGGGCTTTGGATCTCAGACAGAGCTAAAGCAACAGCATAAAGCTCTTTAAACTGGGCGGAGCCCTATACCTCATGAAAGAGGGTTATGGCCGGAGGGCACTCACTTGTGCCTGGGGGGAACATTACCATAGAGGCTCCCCTTTTACCCTGTCAGTAAAAACAGAGGGGAAAGAGGGGTCTGCCTCAGTGAGGAACATTTTAGGCGGCTGCCATGCCAATTGGCCAAAAGAACTCATCCACTTATAGGGACCATAGTGACAGTCCATCCACTATCCCCGGAAAGCCCTCCATGGCCATTGTCAATCTGGAATTATTTCTCTCTAGCCACGAGAAATCATTGACCCAAAAAGGGATGATCAAAGAGTGGGGTTCACACCCAAAAAGACGGACAGAAAGATATCGTCCCTTAACAATGCAGTCAGCCATTTGATCCACTATAGAGTACACTCGGGGTGCCCCTCCCACAGATAGATGTATCCAATGTACGGGATCTCCCTCCTGAGCCAAAAGGGCAGTGAGGAGGGTCTCTCCTGCCATAATATAGAGGACTAGTGGCAAGTTTGGATTATATCTTTTTAAGGCAGCGTTATCAATGGCATGTTGAACTTTTGTCAATGTGTCTCTATGTATAGGGGTTAAAGTCACTGTTGAAGCTAGGTTTAGGCCTTTTAATAGGTTGAAAAGAGGGATAAGATCAACTGTGGTTATAGGAATCCAGGGCCTCATCCAATTGATTTCCCCCAGCAGTTTCTGGAGCTGTGGTAGCGTATATGTGTCTTGCATACATAACTGGGGCTTAACAGGGGAGACAACATCTAATGTTAAAGTAGTCCCCAAAATTTTTAAAGGGGCTATCTGTTGAACTTTATCTGGGGCAATTTGAAAGTTATAGTTTTTGAGCAGGGAAAGGCACCTTTTAAAGAGGTCATCTAATTTGCAGGAACAAGTGGCCCCCAAGATAATATCATCCATATATATGTAAAAGAGCATGATAGATTCCTCTCAGCTTGTTGCTGGCATTCCTCTTTATACAAAGCACAACACTTAATATAAAGGGGGCCAGGGAGAACCGCCTGGGCAAGAGCCCTCCAATCTGCGGTGGTGCACGGATGGTGAGCAAGTCCCTGGAGGATGGTCTCAGTCCAGGGAGCATTGGGGCCGTCAATGGCCTTCTTTAACTCCTTAAGGTCACCTGGCTTCCAAGGGTACCAGGGGGCAGGGCGGTTACCTCCAGTATTAACATTGACAGGAAATAGCTAACATGGCCCTGGGTTGGGTTGTGGGTGGAGCCCTGAATTCTCTTGAGGTGGACAACCAATAGGAGAGCACAAGTCCTTATATGGGAGAGGAGCTGAAACCCCTGCCCATTGTTATGGGGGAGCAGGAGCTGATGGTGATTTGAAAAGGTTAGAAGGGGAACTAGCACCAGGAAGTGGTGGGTACCAGGGGGCCATGGATTTGGGAGGCCAGGGGGCAGCATCGAAAGGGTTGAGGGCACCACTGCCACAATTCTCATCCAGCTCTTTATGGCTTTCCTGTCCTACGGATGTGGACTCCGACTGAGGAAGGGGATCAGAATTTCCCCGGGAAGGGGCTCCCGACCCGGTGGCCTCCCCATCCACTAGGTTCTTGGCAGTTGGCTTCGATGGTCGATGAGGGAAGCAACTCTTAAGGGCTGCTAAAGTGGGGAAGGTCCCCAGAAGGGGGATATCCCCCCGATTAACCTGGGCTTTGCGTACGAGTTGCTCCACCCTGTCCCAGGTCTCCCAGTCAAACAAATTACTCACGGGCAGCCATGGGGGCGACCTTAACTAAGGTCTCCCAGGTCTTGATAGCTTGGCTTTCATAGAGCTCTAGGCCCCTACTTCAGAGGAGGACCCTAAGGGACTCAAGGGAGGGATCAGACTTGGAAGAATGTCCCATAGTTTATGGGAATACACTTACCCATGGCCTGATTAGCTCCTCAGCGAAGTGAGAGATCCTCACACAGGGCACCAGTTGTTGCTCTCTGCAGCAATGGCATGAAGGAGATGAACAGGACCAGCCTGTTGCTCCCGGGGGCTGAGCGAGAGGGCAAGTGTTGATGGCTCGGTCACCCTCCCCAGAGATCCGGGGAAAACAAAACCACACCAAGCCAGGAGATGTGTCAGCCTTGGAGGCACAGCAAAACTCCCCCCTGTATTTTCAAATGAGCATTTCTAGCTCCTCTTTGAACATTAAGACTGGACAAAATGTCCAGAAAAGCCCATTTTTAAACAGTTGAGGGTAAATGAAGTAATAAGTCAAGAAAACAAACTTCAGACTCACCAAGTTCTACAGGTCGGTGAGTGGACGTTTTTCTTAGTATACTCAGACTTTCTCCTCTCATTTCTTAGCCTCCTTCCCTTTGAGAATTTGGGGTTCCAAGTCACAGGAACAATATTTCTCAACTGTTTTTCCTTAATTTTACACCTCCTTTTGAAAAAATATATTTTGTTCTGCATATTTTCTCCAGTCAAGGGCATTTTGTAATAAAAAATTAACACCCTGTCCCCAGACCTACCCATGGTGGGATCAGGTTTTTCTTTTTTCCATGAAAACTTAGGAAATGGGGCTTTGAGCTCAGTTATTTCCCTATTTTGCAATTGTGGCAGGGGTGTCAGTGGACAGCTAGAGTGTCCAATGCCTGCAGGTGTCAGTGTGTGACCCAGTTAGCTCAGATGAGAACTTCTTGTCCAGTAAACTCATGCATGCTTTGTGAATCTGGAGGGCAGATGGAAGAGCTCCAGCACAGGCATACTGCGTAACAGCAGGTGTTCCCTAGGAATCCGGTCAGGAGTCAGACTGTGGTCACCTCCCAGCTCATCTGCTCATTGCAACAAATAATGCCAAGCTCATTCTAAGTTCTGTATCCATGTAATTACAAAGGCAGAAAAGAAAAATTAAACAACCGAAAAGGCCAGTGACATCTCAAAAACTAATTTCTTTGTTGTATCAGTCAAGGTTCGATCACCGAGAACAGAATGCATTCAAGCTTTTTAATCAGAAAAGAATTTATTGCAGGCTATTACATGACTCAGTATTATCACTGGGGAAGCTCAAAAACCAGACGCTCGAGGGAGCTTCCATCAACAAGTCCCAAAGCCGCAAAGTAGAACTTGGCCACCAATGAAGTTCTCTTACCTCAGACAAGAGAACTATCTGGTTCACTGGGCAGGTGCTACCACAGCTCGTGGCTCCAGAACCATCTCATGGATACTACAGTCTTTCTCAGCAGAACGAGTAGCTCAAGCCCTGCCTCCCTCCCCCTTAACTCAGTTCCAAATACAAGCCTCCCGTCAGTACTTCTGTTTGGCAGAAACTAACCCACGCAGAACCCAAGAGCAAGGGAGTTGGGGAAATGAAGTGTTTGCTTTCCAGACTGTGCAGTGGCGTGAGGAATTCTGAAAGGAGGTGGGAAGATGTCCCGAGTGAACCAATCACAGTATCCACCACAGATATTAAACTGCACTGAGGCTGAAGAAATAAAACAATTTTGAGGAGGCTTTGAGTAATTTTGAATGTTTTTATGGGCAAAAATAATAATTGGGATAGCTACTGGAGTTAGGAGAGGCATGGGGCACTTGGGAGTGTGGTGAATATTTTTAGTTTTGTGGTATAAGCACATTGCCAAGCATCAATATGTGATTTGGTATCTCTAAATTGCCTCTAGGGGCCCTTTTTTTCCTTTGGTCTGTTCAGCAACCCTTCTTACCCTCCTTCTAGTAATGCCCAGTCACATGACTCAGTCTCAGTCTGGGGTGAATGTCACCCCCAAGCTCTGGCCCCAGGGACTAGTCCCCAGATCAGCCCATGAGCAAAGCCAGGGCAATTAGAGGTTTGCTCAGTATTGTTCCATCTGAAGCTGACAGAAAAGCCTCTTTTTCTTCTCCTTTGTGTCCCAGTGCTGTAAGAATGTAGCCCTGGAGCTGATGGCCAGGTCCCCACTGTGGGGCAGCGCCTACAGAAATGAAGCCAACACCAAAGAGGAAAAGAGAAATTAGAGCAGGCTGAGAGACTCCTTTGTTGTACATTTTCTGATTTTACCCTCAAGGCCTGGAGATGTCTCCTTCCTGCAGCTACTTCTTCAGTTCTATGAGCCATTCAGCATCCTTCCAATAAATCCTCCCTTTTGGATTAAGATCATGTGATTGAATTGGGTATCAGCATACAGTTTTAACAATCATAACAAGTCACAGTCTCAATTTTATAACCTACTAGTTCCACAAGTCACTTGAAGGAAGGTAGTGTCCCTTGTGTCCCATGGGAAAATTGAGATTTTTTTTTCCTCCCATTGTTTGAGGTTGAAACCTAAATCTGAATGACATTTCTAAGTCAACCAACTTGACTTGAGTAATTTTGATAGTGTCACTCAGTTTCAGATAAGCACCCTCTAAGATCCATTTTTTAAGAGAGAACTGCTACAGCACAATTACCATATCTCTCTACAGTTGCCAGCTGTGAAGTTTGGAGAGCCCCAGAAGCTTCACCAACTGTGGGCTAGAGGCAAAGAAAAAGTACTGTGAGACCCTGAAGGGAGGAGAGCCTATGGCTTCACGGGGCAGGCTTTGTGAGTGGTTGGTGAGTGAGTGAGTGTGTGTAGGTGTGACACAGACAGAGAGGAGAGAGGAATCAAAACCTTTTCCTACAGTAACACTCAGGTGTGTTTCTTTGACTTGCCTTTAAGTTTCCTCAAGGCTCATTTACACTTAAGTTGGCAATGACAAAAAAACCTGTCTTTCAAACACCACAGGATCACATCAGATAAGCAATTAGAAAAGTGAAACACAAACCAATCACTTTCAAGGAGGGTTTAAATTAGGGGTGAATTCTAAGGATTGACGTGCACTTTCCAAGTGCTATGAACACCCAGCACAGTGTGCTGCTGCTCTGTGAGCAACATCATCACCTTCTACGGCATCATCAAAAACTTGAGCATATGATGGACTTATTAGCCATAGATTTAGTAGTCACAGTTTTGACTATTTTGGAGTGACCTGAATGTCCAGAACTCTATAGTTTATAATTTTGCTGAGACATGAATTAAAATTACATGAACTGATGTGAGAGAAGGAGCCGCTTGACCCATGAGTGAGCCTGGTCAACATTCAGAATTCACAACCCAGTCCGATTCTATTTTTTCACAGTCATTATCACAGACAGTCAATTTCTGAACTGATAAGATGTAAAAAATAAAATAAAGCTGAATTTCTAAAATTAAGGATCCTGAAGGGGTCACTTGCAGTTTTAAAATTCATTTACTGCATTTTATGGAAAAAAATACTCAAATGGCATTTGAGATTGGAGTCCTGGAAGTCTTGCAAAAGTCTGATATAATCCAAACATTACTAGTTTCCTTAAACTGTTGAGAATAGTGTAATTCATGAATAAGACCATGTAAGTTTTTGAAGTGTGTCCTATAAAACTTCTACTAATTCTGAAAATGAGATTTTTTTGCATTTGTCTTTAAAAAACTAAAAACAAGAAGAGCCATTTCCTTTGCAAATGCTGATGGGTTAGTTGCCAGATCAAATGGTCTTTTCCTGTTGGATTTTGTGCAGCATTTGATGTCCTTTATAACCTCTTCCTTCTGGCAATCTCCCAACTCCCTTGGCTTTAGAGAGAACACGCTCATATTGATAACTCCAAATTCACTCACTTTGACTTCTCTCCTGAACTCTAGAACTCTATAAATACTACTTACTCTGGAAAGTTCTTTGGGGTGTTCTATAAATACTAACTTCAACAGACTTCAGAAGAAATTGCCCTCATCCCTCACAATTCATAATCTCCTTCTGTCTTCCCTTTTGGATTCCCTTCCCTGTTGGCAAGACCTAGAAGAAAGGCAGGCCTCAGCATCCAGTCATATGGATGCAGGGGAAGCACAAGGAGAAGAGAAGAGCAAGAGGCAGAGGGGTTCCTTATCTATGACCAGGTACTGGCTGCCATGTCCTCTACCTAGATGAATGCCAAAGTCAAAACAAGTCAAGTCTAACCTAGAAGCTCAGTGCAACTAGAAGATGAAATATATAGTTTAAAAAGGAGCTCTCAAAGTGGTAGGAATTCTGAGGTTGGTAAATGCATGAGTGGACCAGAGGAACTACATCTTAATAATAAGACCTGGCATCTCCCGACTTCAAACTCTACTACAAAGCCACAGAATCAATACAATTTGGTACTGGCACAAGAACAGACCCACAGATCAATGGAACAGACTAGAGAGCCCAGATATAAACCCAAGCTTACATGGTCAATTGATACTTGATAAAGGAGCCATGGATATACAATGGGGGAATGATAGCCTGCCTCTTCAACAACTGGCATTAGCAAAACTGGACAGCTACATGCAAGAGAATGAAACTGGATTATTGTCTAACTCCATACACAAAAGTAAACTCAAAAAGGATCAAAGACCTGAATGTAAGTCATGAAACCATAAAACAAAAGTCTCTTAAATATAAATATGAGCAACTTTTTCCTGAACACATCTCCTCTGGCAAGGGAAACAAAAGCAAAAAATGAACAAATGGGACTACATCATGCTGAAAAGCTTCTGTACAGCAAAGGACACCATCAGCAGAATAAAAAGGCATCCTGCGGTATGGGAGAATATATTTGTAAATGTCATATCCGACAAGGGGTTAACATCCAAAATATATAAAGAACTCACATGCCTCAACACCCAAAAAGCAAATAATCCTATTAAAAAATGGGCAGGGGATCTGAACAGACACTTCTCCAAAGAAGAAATTCAGATGGCCAATAGGTACATGAAAAGATGTTCCACATCGCTAATTATCAGGGAAATGCAAATTAAAACAACAATGAGATACCACCTCACACCAGTTAGGATGGCCAACATAGAAAAGACTAGCAACAACAAATGCTGATGAGGATGCACAGAAAGGGGAACCCTCCTACACTACTTGTGGCAATGTAAACTAGTTCAACCATTGTGGAAAGCAGTATGGAGGTTCCTCAAAAAACTAAAAATAGAAATACCATTTGACCCAGGAATTCCACTCCTAGGAATTTACTCTAAGAATGCAGGATCCCAGTTTCAAAAAGACATATATATGCACCCCTATGTTTATTGCAGCAACATTTACAATAGCCAAGAAATGGAAGCAACCTAAGTGTCCATCAGTAGACGAATGGGTTAAGAAGATATGGCACATATACACAATGGAACATTATTCAGCCATAAGAAGAAAACAAATCATACCATTTGCAACAACATGGATGGCGCTAGAAGGTATTATGCTCAGTGAAATAAGCCAGGCAGAGGAAGACAAGTACCAAATGATTTCACTCATCTGTGGAACATAAGAACAGAGCAAAAACTGAAGGAACAAAACAGCAGCAGACTCACAGAACCCAAGAATGGACTAACAGTTGCCAAAGGGAAAGGGACTAGGGAGGGTGGGTGGGAAGGGAGGGAGAAGAGGTATAAGGGGCATTATGATTAGCACACATAATGTAGTGGGGGGGGGCACAGGGAAAGCAGTATAGCACCGAGAAGACAAGTAGTGACTTTATAGCATCTTACTACACTGATGGGCAGTGACTGTAATGGGGTATGTGGAGGGAATCTAGTAACCACACTGTTGCTCATGTAATTGTATATTAATGATACCAAAATAAAAATAATACCTGGCATATTTTGAGCATTTCCTGTTTGCCAAGCACTTTATATGAAATACATCATTTAATTCTCACCACAACACTCTAGGGTATGTACCATTATCATTTCCACTGAGAAAACTGAGGCTCTGTAAAGTATCTTGTGGGATATGAGGCCAGGCAGTGACAGAGCCTGGTTAGTGGTGGGGCCATGGTGAATCCTAGAGAATCAGGGTTCTTGTTTTCCAAATCTCCTCTAGGGTAGCCTTATGCCACCTTAGTTTAAAAGGGATCATTGAGGGGTAGCCTATTCCAAGTGTGGTTCTAATCTTGGCTTCAACCCAGTGTCCAGTGCCAGGTGCCCTTCCTGCAGCAATATCCAAGACCCTTCACTCTTCCACTAATCAAGCTCGCCCAGGTCTTGTCATTATTTCCAAAGTATGTACTGAACCTATCTCTTCCTCTCCATTTCTACTGCCTCCAATCATCTCACCTGTACCATTATAATATCCTCTTAACTAATATTTCAACTTCTAACCTCTTTCTTCCCTTTACTCAGTCTGTCTGCCATACTGTCATCTGTCTAAGCCACCATCCTAGGCAAGCCCAGAAATCTAAACCAGGGAGCCAGAGTTTGGCAAGGGATTAAGACAGAGCAGCTACAGTGAAGGGGGACAGGGGAGAATTCAAGGAGAGGTGGGTGGAATGCAGGCAGGAGCTGGGGAAAGGAGGGCAGAATCAAAAGCATTATCCAGGGGAAAAGTTGGCCCGGAAACCTAGGTAAAGTCCAGAGAAAGTGCCATTCCAACTAGGACCAAGCAGAAATCCAAAAATTGGGTCTTAGGTGGAAAGGCTACAGCTAGATTTGGCCAGAGGAACAAGCTGAGAAAGAGTGTGACAGAGGATCCTGATTTATCTGGGACTTTAGATTTGCCTGTGGGTGGGAAGACACAGGCACTGTTAAGGACATTGTATTATTTTCTGTGCTGTTACAAATTTAACAGTCTGAAATAATACAAATTTATTATCTCATAGTTTCTTATTATTTTTTCTTATTATTTCACTGGGTCTGGTTCTAAGCACAGCTTATCTGGGTCCTCTGCTGAGGGTCTCACAAGGCTGGAATCAAGGTGTCATCCAGGGCTTTAGTCTAATCTAAGGCTTGACTGGGGAAGCATCTACTTCCAAGCTCCTCAGGTTGTTGACTTAATTAAGTTGCATGAGTTTGTAGTCCTGAGCATATCAGAGTTTTGCTAGCTGTTGACTAAAAGCCACCCTCATCTCCTAGAGACCACCTGCAGTGGTCTTCATTACATGGGGTTCCTCACAAAGCTGCCT